ATAATAATTACATTATTAATTTTACTGCACGATGATGTGGATGCATTCCATTCTAACTACAGTTCTATTTAATCGCCAAGAATAAGGAAATCATGTTTTAAGCTAACACGTGACGATCTCCTGATATTTTAAGTGGTTTTCCATGTACAATGACGTTAATTGCCGGATACGCGCGTATGCGATTTTCAAGCGAGATAATTCAATTTCCACAATTAACATTTATGTGATACTGATTTCTATGAGGAATACACTAAAAAAATATTTTCCGAATTCAATAAGCGTGATAATTATGTCAATACGTCGTTCTTGGCAACCATGTGACACTTGAAATAACATCCGCAGCGATTTATCTATCGTTCCTCTCATTTTAATCCAACAATTTCTTCTAATATTACACTATTCTGATTTACATTACATACACGTATAATGATATAATAGCTCAGACTTGACAGCTGGCTTTTCTATTAATATGTACAAACGAAGCAATATTTACAGATAAAATTCAATAAAATATAATTGATAAAAAAGAAAGATAACGTGATTGATCGATCGCATAATCGCGAAACGTTATTAAACTCGCTTATCATAAATCGCATAATGTCAGAATATAACATTGTTTGACAATCAGTCGCAATAATTACACAACTGAATGAATTGATACTCCAACAAGGTAATTAAATGACGTGACGTGATCAATCAATTAATAATACAGCACACTTGTAATTACACTAATCCGCAATCAATTATTATCTGTAACTACTCATAGCTGTTTCATATTAATTAATTTGGCATTACGTAATAAACTTTTCTCTTTTCGCTCATTGATTAATACTTTTAAAAAATATTTCTATTAAAGGAAATGATAACTAATTAGAAAAATGACGTACGCAAAGTGAACAATGTAATTAAATAAAACTATGTTTAAGAAATGATCATATCTTATTAATTAAAAAATCTGAAAAAAATTATTTATGTACTTGTATGTTTTTATATAAATATCATATATTTACCCAAGTGACTGCTTGAATGTTGTTTCATCGTCATGAATGGAGGACTTCTTTGCAGAAATCGCAGGATTGCTGTTCAGTTCCATCTGTAAAATATTAAAAGATGACAATAAAAATACGCTTTAAAAGCTAATAAACTTGTCGCACACTGCGTGTGCGCGTGTGTGTGAATGTAAATTCCGAATGCGCATTTTTCGTAATGACACATGCGTTTTTCGTAATGACATAAAAAGATGTCACGATGAAAGTCCTGTGTCCAACCGTCTAGACAAACTTACGACATATGATGAATGAAACACGCCGTAAGAGCGTCTCGCCAAGTATGTATGTAAAGTATGTATAAAATGAGCTCGCGAAAGAGACGCTATACAGTGATATTTTTTACCCGAGATTGATAAAATTTTCTGGATATAAATTTTAGAAGTAATTTATTATTTTCATTTAAATAAAATAATTTTTACACAAAATTTGTTTAATACGAAAAAATAATCGATTTTTTCGGATTCTCAAAAGCGCTTTAATATATGAATTTATACGCGTATTGTATTCGTGTGCTTTGTTTCTAAATACTGACGTATCATGACTCTTGAATTATTCAAGAAACGATAACACTTGTCTCAAAGCAAAATGAACATATTATTTTGTTATAATTAATTTTTTTATTAATTATTAATTAATATTATTTTTATTATCAATAAAATTATTATTCATTTTTCGAATAATTAAGAATCATGATGTGGGAATATTAAAGAGCGAATTATGTGTGCACACCGAATATATATAAAAATAATAAAAATAGGTCGAGGACGATCTCGACTTCTTCGGTATTATTCCATTATTAATAGCGTATTGTTGTTCGTCAATTAAACGCGCGAATTGTGTCTCTGTACGTAAGTCTCTTTATTGATTGATTTCTTAATTAATCTGTAGCGTGCACAGTAGTTAATCCCGCGACAGAGATTGATACACATGTTGAAATACCGATTGAGGAGAGAAAAAAATGTGCGTATGAGATATGAAATGTGACAATTCTGTCTTAACTAACAATGTCATAATATATAAATACAAATATAAATTGTCACAATAATTTCTTCAATAAGTTTTTATTTTTCTTTAGATGATCATATTTGGCATATCAGCGTGCCTATTTCTTGCGAAAACATGGGAAACCTGAAATTCTCGAGGATTTCTTCTTTACCTGGAAAAATCAGGGATTTCTCATGAAATATTATTGGAACTCAAGAAATTTTTAAAGAAGTTCTCTCTTTGATAATTTTGCTCTTATATTATAAACAATCAGCAATCCGCCGATAAACCAAAATGTAAAAAAAAAAATAAAACAAGAAGCACAGGCTTGATAATTTTGCTCTTATATTATAAACAATCAGCAATCCGCCGATAAACCAAAATATAAAAAAAAATAAAACAAGAAGTACAGGCCCACTTAAATTAAAAATCACATACAAATCAAGTGAAAAACTGAATAGCTTTCGTCAGATAAACATTGTGTACTTGTATAACATTTTCTTTTTTTATCACTAATAATTACCATAAAGAATATGTACTGCATACTCAATATTTTTTGTTAAAGCATTGGATATATATAAACAGAGATAAATATAAACGGAGTTAAATGTATATTTATAATATATTGTAAACGCATAATTTTTTTTTTACAGATCACATACAAATCAATAGCAAGTGAGAGCCGGCGCGGTAATTGGTGCGCATACTTATAATAAACGTACATTTATTAATTTCGTGTATTAGTTCTTAACAAAAAATATTGAGTATGCAGTACATATTCTTTATGGTAATTATTAGTGATAAAAAAAGAAAATGTTATACAAGTACACAATGTTTATCTGACGAAAGCTATTCATTTTTTTTTTTTTTTTCAGTACATTTGCAACTTTGAAACTTAAGTGGCTTTGTTCTTTTTTATAAGTAAAAAGTATTAACAAATGCATACAAAAAAAAACATTTTAGAAAATTGCAGCAAAATCTCTTTGAAATATTCTCTTTATCTGGAGTCTTGAACAAAAATATTCTAAAAGATCAGAAAATTTTCAAGGAATATTTTTTACAAGATTTGAGTAGAACACCCATGTATATGTGTGTAACAAATCAATCAATATTTTAAATTATAAAATTATAGTTATTTTTATAATTAAAGTATTTACTTGAAATATATTATTTCCGAATTTTGCACGGTCTTTCTTTTTATATTACATAAATTACATAAAAACAAAGTATGCGGTCTATTCTTGTAACAAGTTTTTCAATCAATTTGCACGAGTAAGTAGTGCACGTTTGTTCTTAATAAAAATCTTCATCTATGCGTTCGTTACTAATTTCTTTTTTTTTCTTTTAGTCCTAAGATAATAGAAACGAATGGAAAATTTCCCTATCCCTATCCCTATCCCGTAACAAACTTTTTAGAAAGATAAGCGATAGAAACAGAGGAAAGTTTTATGCTATCTAATCTTTATTACTCATGTCTGTTTTTACATAAAACGGACACGAATCTTCCGATTACATATTATAAACTCGTATGAAAGATATTCGTGACGCGGAAGATTACAAGCGATGTTTCTTTAAGTGAAATAAAAAAAGAAATGACCTTATATATTAATCATCATGTAAAACGCGACTATAATCATTTCCTGCGCCATTTACTTTTAATGGCGTAAACGAGTCTAATCGAGATAATCCTCCAAGTTACACACAACTCACTATCAGCTTAATGTAAACCGTACGTGCGCGTGGGGTTGACATCGACGCAAGTAAAACAACACGCTAACTATTTACAGTTTATGACGCATATACCATCTTATAACGCGTCACGCTTAATATCGATCATTATCTGCGAAATGTGCGCGAAACGGCAATTAATCGCTATTTATAAGAAATAATAACGCAAAACACGTTTGCAACATGTAATCGACGTAGAAAAAAAACGACGACTAATTACAAAATTGTTCGCATAATTAACTCAATACTGTTGCTACATTAATACACAGCGAGTAAAGAATTGCAAATATACGTCAATCCTACCTATATAGTAACTTATATAACAAACTCGTTATTCAATACCGATGCCGTGTCAAAAGTTATTGACGATACCAATTTACAGTGAAGCAGTCTGTAAAATGTTTGAAATAACTTTATATAAACGGATTTATACTCTCGTTATTCGAATAGAAATAAAAACACGATAGCTGAGCATATTAATATATGTAATATAAATATCCCGGTCTGACGTAATCTAAATCTTTGAAAATATTTTCGACGCGCGTTTATTTGTGTATATATACACATATGTGTGTTTGTGAGACGAATATCCATGTATATATACTTATGTGTTTTATATACATATATATATATATATATTTTCACTATCATCTCTCACACACATTTGATACTATATATCCTGAACAATACATCATATCAAATTATCGATATTAGTTTGCATATTCGTACACGTGACTCACTTGACTGATATACTTTATCACTGAGCAATTGCAACATGCAGATAAATAAAGTTTGTTATTTTAAAGCGAATGCAAGATAAATGTGGCAATGTCTTTTTTATCAATCCATTTTTTTCTCTACAATCCGTATATCGTAAGTATATTACATATTATATACTTAAGAGAGCTAGTTATTTGATGTTACTTCCGTTTAATTCGCGCGCGTGATGCTCATCAGAATCATAAAGTCTTCCGATAAAAATCAACGCAAGTATAACAAGTAAAAATATGAACACATTACAATTTATAACTACATTTCTAATGCACATGAAGCATTAATAATCACATTAAAATTCGTAACTACACATTTATAATGCACATTAATTTACATATAATTAAATTTTGATATAATAAGATACGTTTGTATTAATTCTACTTTTTTTCAAATAATAAATCCGATTATTGCATACAAATATATAAGTGTGATTAAAAAGACTTTTACTACGAAAAATAATGAAAATGCAATTGATTATGCTATTATGTGTCGAGTAATTTAAATAAATAGATTTTACAACTCAAAGATATATCATATGTCAAAAAAAAAAAAAAAAACAATCGTATTTCAATAAAAAGATAACAGGATAAAGAACTGGCCTAATATTCGCTGAAAATTTGTGTTCTGTTTTTTATTGTACGACTTAATCATATAATCATACGATAAACATGCCGTCGACGTACTTATTCACTCACAGTCAACTTAATATAATCGTCGTAATTGCTTTCGTAATTTATCAGAAGTTTTTCAACATGCCGACTACGTGATCATATCGGTCAAAGTGGAGCAGAATAGCATTATTAAGAAGAGTAAAATATCGTTCAATCAATTGAATCTCTTAAATCGTGATAATAAAGATAACTGCAATGTAAAAATTACTGCAATACGAATTTTAATCGAGTGTAGCTGTCAAATTATGTAATTATGTAAGCTCATGATTGTCGTTCACAAATTCACGGTCTCACGATATAATACATCAGACAGCCTAAAACTGGGACAACTAAACTGTTTACTGTCACGTGTTTCACTTAAGGAAGCGCAACGTCTTCTTTGACCGATGTAAATTCACTTTTTGGCAATGTTACCGTTGGCGACATTACCAAAATAGAAATATTTAACGGCTCCTCTTTAGCCGGTGTCACGTGCACTTTTATCAGACGCGAACCGCGATTGCTTCAAAGCGCCAGTAATGTTTCTGTTTTTGCCAACGGAAAAAAGGGAAGGAAGCGGGCGAAGAACTTTGGAAAAAGCCGCAAAGATTTAGAAAAGATTTCTTATAAAAATTCTTTCTCACGAACACAATAGCGGCATTTCCTAAAATTTATCAAACATCATTGAAAGTCACGATATTTTATTTACGATTAATGAATGTAATCGCGCTTCTCTTAAGCCTGTGAAAAGTAACGCGATTAGATAATTACTTAAAATGACAGATAAAAGCGTTTTGCATAAGAAAAATAATGCACTCCGAGTATATATGTACTTTCAAAAATGTTTTTGGAAAATTTTAAAACTTTATTAGAAATTAAACATTTTCGAAAATGAATCTGATGAATATGATAATATAATTCGAAAGAATCATTAAGAGATAATTTTAGAAATAAAAACTGAAGTAATGAAAGGGGGAGAAAGAGGAAGAAAATATATATTATCTTTACAAAAAAGATATAATATGTTTATAAAATACATTGAACATCTTACATTGATTACACGATCATCTCTTTGCATTTTAATATCTAATCTTTCATAGAAGCAATTTTAAAACATTTAACATTATATTATACAAGCGTGTCATCACATATGATAAGTCAATATCATTATACGATAAGCCAACGTCCGACCTATTCTTATCAAAAATCAAACCCGCGATCCAATGCAATCAAAAATAAAGTTTTCCGTCTCGCTATACAGATAAATAAAAAAATATTTCGCAAACGAATCCTCAATAATACGAACAATGCAGCAAAATGATGATATTTCTATTCAATGGAAATTTTTTTCTATTGTGTGTGTTGTATGTGTCACTGATTTTCTTCATTATTTCCTGCTTCGACCGCAATCGGCAATCTAAATTATTGCACTTACTATCCTTGAAGCATGCCACCGGAAAAAATGCACTTTTTCTCCGCATATTAACATTTACGAAGGTGTAATTCATAATCGTATCATGTGATATGCACGTGATACGTATTCCGAGATATGCAAGTGTATTGCCTAAGAGATATTCGCAGAATCCTATTCCGTTGGGACTTTAAAACGCTGATAAATATCCTCGTTCAATCGCATTCAATGATAAAAGCGCAATAAATCTTATATCGAGTGGATCGTATTTGTAATCAAATCTTATTTCGGCGCTAAATCTAACAGGTCATTGCGTGTAATGGACGCTTGCCAAAAAATCGTATTACGTCGAGCAAAATTGCAAATATGTATAATACGATCTCGAAAAGAACTTCAGAGATAAATGATACAAAGTTATTTGCGCAGAAAGATTAACTGCCCAAAGAAAACTTATCTACCTGATAAATATTGTCATAAAAAATGATGTCTCTCCTGCTGTCTCAATACTGGTAAAACGCTTCGAAAAACTATGCAAACTTGCAGTTAAAAACAAAACCGAAACAAAGGTGTCCTTGGCTAAAACGATCTACCACGCAGCTATCACGATGTAATAAAAACTTGAAATAAAAATAATAAAAATTAATGACAAATCGCACAATAAGAATTTAATAATTATGTAAATGTACAAATGTTCATTAATAATAAGATTGATATTTCGTTAGCAGAGAATAGATATATCGTTTCGATATAAAGAAATTATAATTTATATAGCGTAATTCTTTTTTTGCAAATTCTCTCAAGATAAAGCTTTATTATTAGTTACTTTCTCTCAAGATAAAGATATAAGTAAAGTCTAAAATCATTGTGCTATTGCAATAAATAACGAAACTGCAGAATTGATTTTTCCAACGTTATTTAAATCTTTAATTTTTTTAATGCTTACGAAAATATTTGCATGTAATGGGTTCGATGAACTCGTATTATTAAGTATCGCATCAAGATAATATATTTTGCAACTGTATCGTTCGCGAAAAACTACAACAGCTCCAATTTTGTTTCGAAGCATTGCATAAAAGTATATGATTCTGGAACCTGTCAAAACCGCGTCAACAAACTTATTGAAGCGAATGTCGTTAGAAATTATCGCATTTCCACTCTTATCAGTCGTGACAACTAAATTTAAATACTTATGTAACGCATCGATGTAATTTAAGCGCGAAAATACGTCAATATTATATTTTAATCCATATGCACATCACATTGAATCCTTGAAAGCATGCTGTCCCCGAATACTTTCCCAGATTGGTTTCAAGGAAATCTACTCATTCATTATACAATTCGTTATACGAATTGCGAGTCGTCCGCGATAATAAATGAGACACTGAAAAGAAAGATCAACAACTGATCGGTGTTGTTGATGAACGTGTCGAAATACATACCGAAAGCAGATATAATGCAGACGTACCTTTTCGCAATCGCGTTAGTCAGTTGATTTGTTGTAACCAGAGAATTGAACGCGGATAACCCATGGATGGTGTCCGTCGTCGTTCCTACGGATACGTGCAACGGTCGGCTGCTTACGCGCGACTGAAACGGTGTCAGCGAAACCAAGTAGTATTACTCGCGCCTCAACAAACACTCTCCGAAGGCTGTCTACTTCCTTCTGGCTTCCTTCGCTCACCGCCCGGTGCTGAAATGCCTCGTTCCGCGTATGTCCCTTTATTCTTGGCACCAGGGCAGAGACCGTGTCGGTTTCGTCACGGACCGAAAATCGACCTCGATCCCGCTAGCCCGAGTAGCTCCCCTAATAGGAATACCCTGAGTCATATATCTCAGCTGTGCAGAGATACCATTAGGTGTGCAAATTTTCTAGATACCAGTTATGTTATTGAAAGAGTTGATACAAAACAAAAAACAAAATATTATTGAAAAAATATGCATAACCTGTTGAAAAAATAATGAAAGATTGAATTAAATACTAAAAAAAAATTCGTCAAATTAAATAAGAATTGTAATTAAAGAATACAAAATTATTAAAATATAATAAAAAATAATAAATGATTTAATTGAAGACAATAATTCCGTATTTAAAAAAATTAAATTTAAGAAAATTACAATTCTTCTCTCTTATTTCTAAGGCAATTTTAATTTAAATAAAAAATGTTAAAAAAAGAATACGGACATTTATTAGCGTGTAGTAATCACAGACAGTGAATAAAAAAAGTCTTATAGCGAGCTAAAAAAAGATTATAAGCGAGCGAATTAAGCATTGCTTGAAAGCGTATATCAGCGTCGCGCCGATTGCAACGGTCCTGTACTTTCTCGTGAATGCAATCAAAGATTAACGAGTCGGAACAAAGCAAGAATATTGTCATTTATTTTGCGCCTGAGGCATGTATAAAAAGATCTTCAATGATACGACTGCAACGTGCAAAGACTGATATATAACAACACCTATTATACGCATTCGTTTCGATAATAAAAGAAAATGTTGAACTTGGCAAATATAAAAAATTTATAAAAATCAGAAAAGGGAGTTTTTTTCAATTTTTGAGAAGTTCACTATTCGCAGGAAAAAAAAATTGAATTTCACGTGTTGTGTGATTTTAATAGTTTGCATATAAATTCTGCGTTTAATTAAAAATGATGTAAAGTAACACTAAAATCTAAGGAAATCCCACCTCGCTATTGACGCACGTTTCTCACACAAAGGTTTTTTCCCTTTGGTCCAGTAAAAGTAAGAGTACATTAGCCATGGCACCAAGGCCGTGCCCGAGTACGAACCGCAACTAAAAGCGATGTGGGCGAACAGAAACGCAGTATAAGAAGAGATAAGAAGCATATTTAAAACATTCACGCGTATCAAATTTGCAAAAAGAATGAGACTCGCCTCTAATCTAACAACACGGATACAAAAATGAGGTCATACGTACAATTTTATATGCGTGGGTTGACCTTAAACACATTCCGCCGTAAACGAGTGCGAATGACGTTAATCTGTATGCACGAACATATGCTTAGCTCTTCAAAAGAATTTTCGTTCTATTCTTTAAAGTGCGTCGAGCTATCTTGACGGAAGCCGCGATAACGAATAATTGGAGCAAAAATTATTTTCAACTTGCATAACTAATTTGTATACCTATGACATTATTTCTTCCTCTTTATTAAAAAGGAAATAATTTTTATTTTAATAACTTAATTAATTAATTGTTTTTGCCATTAAATTTTTTTATTTGTAATTAATTTTACTATCATATTTTCAAAATGTTTTTGTTGATAAGGAATATTTCCTATTAAAATATGAAGAGGATTTATCATATTGATGCATTTACAAAAAATTAAATGTGTATAATAAATGGCGCGCTCTTTTAAAGTTCAAATATCATGAAAAAGAACGCATCTTTCTCTTCGCATGTAATTTTCTTAAAGTGCTTCTTTTACAGAATGAAAGATATATCTATAGATATATTATGTTAATGAGTTTATAACGAATAGCAAAAGAAATCGCCCGAAGCTATTCGAGAAATACACGGATGAGAGATTCCTTTGGCGGCTATTTGTTACACGCGCGATTGCGTTAAAATTTTGCATTGCGAAATCTTTGGTAAGACACAGATATCGCATTGCAGTTAATCAGGAAGCTTTACGGAATTGCCACAATAAATGATTTCATAGTAAACGTAATACTGTCGTGTGATTAATAAATTTGCTCTATCGCAGCTTGCTTATCAGCCGCTCTGAGACAACTATTCTATTGAGAATCTGCGCAAAATACGCGAAACTTCATTTCCGTAGATTTCACCTTGAAATGCTGATATACGAATACACGAGTTATTCGATAAGTAATGCGATAAGCGGATAAGCTTGCAATCTTCAGTTTAAAATGTCACGCGTATTTTTCTATATGTATTTTTTTTTTAATTATTATAAATTATATGATAAAACAGCTATTTTTCATGAAACTTGGGAAATATCTGTAACGAAGACATATTAATAAATATATATTGCATATTTTCTTCTTCGCTCCACGGATTTCTTGTGAAGATCACTGTTATTGATCTGAAAAAAATATTGAATTTATATATTCTATTAAATAATAAAATATTATTTGTTATTGCACAATTTTTTCTATAGAAGTCAAATTTTCAAAATTTTCATCACTCATTAGATATTATATTTCAAAGGCTTCGAGCGACTTTCTTGGATTTCTTATAACACTCAATCATTGTTTTGAAGTAGTGATAAAAATTTAACAAATAATATGATTACGTTGTAAACACGATAATTTTCAAAACAAAGAAGCTGATCAAATAAATTATGACATAATGGAATTTGGAATATGGAATATGTAATCTACTGCACTTGTTAATCAACATCTTCATCAAGATGGAAGAACACCGAAAAATAAAATACATGTAATCTATTGCACTTGTTAATCAACATCTTCATCGAGATGGAAGAACACCGAAAAATAAAATACATAGTGGCGCTTCTGCTATGTTAATGCGTCAAAAGCTAAGGTCTTTCTGCAGCAACACAGCAATTTATAATATATTTCGCATAACTTATTTGTGTTAGAATATAACCGGTCTCCGATGCTATATTTATATAACCGGTCCAGTTCACATAGTCGAGGGCTAAATTTTCCACTAAAATGACACATATCTGGAGAGAGATATCTTTCTCACAATAAGAATACTTTCAATGCATAATACATAATTCTAAAGACTGCACCATTTAGTTTATCGCGCGCGGGGCTGTCTCGAAATAATTCTTTAGGCTTTATCTACAAAAAAATCCATATATGTAAAGAACAAAATTTAAAATTATTTTTTGTATCCATGTGTTAAATTGCATATAGCGCACACACACACTTTTATAATATATTATTATATAAAATAGATATAAATAATGACAAGTAAAATAAAGAATTCTAAATATAAAATAGATATAAATAATAACAAAAAAATAAAGAATTCTAAATTTATATATGAACACTATCTTTACACACACAATTATGATTGCGTTTTAATAAATTTCTAGATAGCATTCTTCGCTTTAGAACAAAACAGTATTACATAATCTGTTACTAGAGAGAGAATTTAAGTTAATTTTATATTTTAAAGTCACTATTTTGAAAGTTGTGCCAAGATATATTTAGTCTCTTGGAAGAGAATCCAAAATAACTTTCTCCGGCTGGTCAGTGACCGTTTGTGTTTTTGTAATAATAATACAATAATACATCGTGTAATAACATATTTTTACATATGTAATGGAGACTTATAACATAAATATATTCTTTCGAAAGACAATAGAATGTTCTAAAAATTAATTCGTATCTTAAAAATAAACGAACATTTATGGAATCCATGTATTAATTCATTGCATTCCCGACAATCTCCTAGTTATTTTCAATTAAGAAAGATAAATATTTCTAAATTTGTCAATAAACATCGTTTTAAACTTATATGTTTTCAAGAAATATAAGAATGTTATGAATAATTAAATATTCAAAACCCAAAAATTATTTTTTTTGTCAGAGATACGAATTATCATCAATCAACCAATACTTGAATCATTATAATGAAAAGTGCACAAATCACTATTTTTACGAAATTGAATTGATATCGCAACATATACAATTTCTATCAGTCACGTTATTTCTTATAAATATTATGAAAAAGATATCACATCCTTTCGTCAAAACAATTATTACCACACTCTCAAAGAGAAGCATTTTTCTAATTGTATCTATTTATACTTCCGTTTATGTCTTTATGTCAAACAATATGTATTTATTATATACTTATAGATTATATAGATAATAGTAATATATGTACAAATAATAAAATATATAAAAGCACAAGAAAGTTTTTCATTTATTATGATTCATGCCGTTTCCATAACACAATAAACTTCTCTCTAAAAAAATTTTGATATTACTTGTAATAATATCAATACTTATCTCGAGTCATAATATTAATATTTTATCTCTACGAATTGCATAATGTATCAACGTGATAAATATGTGATCTGTGAAATATGATCGAAATTTTATTAATGAAAACAAAAATATGCATGAAGTATATAAGTGATGATGATCAGAGAGAAAAGAATGCCAAAATAAATATCAGTGTGCTAAATCTATGCCAAATGAGAGATTGTATCAATGCTAATTTATAATCAACTCTAACTTGCACGTTGAAACTTGTCTTTGGCAGTCGTTCACTTTGTTGCGCAAAGCTCAGAGACCTTGACCGACACGCGATATCTAGTTTGTTTAAACTTTATATATGTATAGCATCTCATGCGCATATCGCTTCGTATTTTTATTTTTCCTGATTATCAAAACTACATGTTATTTTTGATATTATTAAATCTAATATAAAAACTACACGCGCGAGGGAAACGTACTGAAGGATTCAGTTATAGGATTCTTTCAATAAAAACAGTGCAATAAACAATTGCATGTATAAATTTCTTTCATTGACGTGCTACATATTGTCGAGAAAGCTGGCAATCAGTAAAACTGAAAATAAATGCGTTGCCGAAGCGAAATAATGTAACATTGTAAAATAAATTATTCAGATGTCTCTTAAGTTAGCTTAAAAGCGAATGCATTTGGGCATGGCATTTATTCGCTGGCAGCGAGGGCGACCGCCGTGAAACGCACTTCGGTGGGATCACGCTCCATGTATTCCTTACATACGCGAGCGGCATCATTCAAAAGTGTTTCTGGCGTAGTCTGACCGTGATTAATAGGAGCAGTTTTTCGACCATCTGAAAAAATCAAATTTTTGTTATTATAACATTTTAAATAAGATGATAACTAGCTCCGTGCTAGAATCGTTGCAGCTAATAATCAATAGTTTAAAGTTTCATCCCAATTAATCATCCTATATATTTATAATTAAGAGCATTGATGGAATTATCTACTTGTGCCAAATCAGTATAAATATTGCAGGCAAATAAAACTCTACCCTCCAATATTATTATCAAAACATAAAATCAATATAGATCAAATATATACCTAGCTCGTATAGAGAGCCATCTTTATGTATAAATGCGACAAAATGATGGTACACCTCCATATCTTCAGCTGGCGCCTAAAGGAAAAAGAAAATATGTATATTTATTTTAACGGTTTAAAAAACAATTGTCATTCTTAACTACAAAATGGCAAAGTACCTCAGTCTGTCCTTCTTGGGCAGATTCCATGTGAGTATCAATGATATCTTGTGCATTTTCTAAACGCTCCCCACGCTCAGTATATGAAAGTCCTTTGGTTTGATCCAAAAATGTCTTGAGAAATCCATCCTCCAACTGTATGCTATAGAACAAATATTTACTTGTACATTTCTATTTATATATATATGTGACAAACTTGATTATATACAATTGATGAATAAATACTCACGTATCCAAATTATTGGCCACACTATGAAGTAACGCAATTGTTCCACATGCATTTGAAATACATTGCTTCATATGGTAAATAGAATCTGGAACATCGCTTTTGCTATCCTTGACTTCTTCTTCTTCTTCTTTTTCCTCCTTGGTCTTTTCAGTCTAAGAACAAACCAAAATAAATTTTAATAGAGCCAGTATTTTATATGTTGTATTAAAGCAGATCAAAAAGTAAGATTCCCTGTTCTATTTACAACTTTTATTTATCACTTATGCACAAATTGGACTTATTGTGTTAAGATAAGATAGTGACTATTTTTCAATATAGTCTTCGCAGTAGAGATTGCTGTCCAAAAAATTAGTTCTTATTTTAACAAGTCCAATTTATTAAGTTGTAAATAAAAGTCATAACAGGGAACGTTACTTTCGATCCATCCCAGTATATATACCTTTGCGGACATAGGATAAAGCAACACAACGGCAAGGACAGGCCTAGGGATAATTGCCAACAAGTCCGAGTCGAAACTATATACATCTGCGATCGACCATTTCTTTGGAACGCCCAACTTATGGAGGAACTACAAAAATAGATGTACACTAAACTTTTGCGAATTCTAAAATTGCGTCAAAAAAATTAAATGTATTGTTTCATGGAAAATATATCATTGATCGATGAACACAAATCATCGTATGTACAACTGGAAATATCGAGACAATAACGAGGTTGATCGAACGTGGCAACCGCTTACCTTCGTCATAACCTAAAACAGAAAACAAAATCCATTAAAATCCATTGCTTGAAGAATATTCGTTACAATTTGACAAAAAGATCGCTCACCTCTGAATTCGATTCTAAGGGTACCCAAGCCATATTAAATTACGATCAAGAGATAGAGAGAAGGAAATTTTATTCTGAAACGCCGGTAAAATCGTCTATTTATTAACGAATTTCCCCTGCTGAAAGCCCTTTTGATTTAAATTCGTGCGATCCTGTTTTCATGACGAGAACAAAACGTCAAGTCACGATAAATCTCGTTCTCGAATCGCGCGAAATATTTCGCACGATACGATTGGTCATGAAAAATATTATATAATACAGAGTGTTCGGAAAGTAACTATATGTACACTTATTTCAAATAGTAAATATTTATCAAACAATATCAGCAAATTGATCTTTCTTTATGAGAGGCATATCACCAGGAAAATTGAAGGTTTTTGGTAAAAAGATTAGATGAGTTAAAATTTGTTTATGGAGGTCACTTACATCTTTTATGAAAAAAGACTAATTTTTTAATAATGTTTGGTAAATCTTTTTAATACTTGAAATAGATGTATAGTTACTTTCCGAATACCCTGTATATGTATGTATCCATTTCTCTTTCTCCTCCTTCCATTTCTTGCCTGTACAACACATGTTGGACATTTGCATGTGTAACACATATGTGGAATTATAAAGGATGCTAAAAAATGTGTCGCAACACAAGATAGATATATATTTGGAGAGAAAAAAAAAATTCTATAAAATGTAATGCATATAATCACTTTTGGCATAAGTAATGGATAGCATAAACAACTTCTTTTTTATTTATATCTCTACACTAGATTACATCTCAAATGACCCTTACATATATGCAGATAAATGCTGAAAAGAGTGAGAAGGGAATGGAGGGGAAGAGAGATTTACACATGTGATTATATATCATACGACGGATTAAAGATAATGTAATCGGTGGAGATAACATATTTGCATTATATCAATATTATGAAATAAAAATGTTTAATATTTGTTTGTAATTATATATATATGGGAATACAATTTTTATTAATTATAAAATTTATTAGACAATCGTCAATTTGGAATATATAAACTTCTTAAAATTTGAAAATTCTATTTATATATATTCTCCACTCCGAATTTTCATATTTTTCAAGATTCATAAATATCAAAGATCAAGAACAAACTGATGATTTGCATATAAGTATATGTATTAAGATTAACGTTAATAAAAAGATACTCCAAACTCTTCTTTTTGTGAAGTTATATACATATTCTGTATGTTAAAAGTGTGTATATAAGTTATATACACAGATTACAAACATCGGTTTAATTAGATCTTTGTCTACAAAAATATACTGTATTGATTTAATCTAATCTCAAAATAATATATCAATGATATAAATGATACAAAAGACATATTCATCATCCATTGCTCTCATTGCAAGTTTTCTGCTGTTAGGATGATGCTGTTTGTACATATTTTGTGTGCTGTGCTGATTCTTTGCGTATCAGTGAAGGCATACTTTAACGTGGTAGCGAAAACAGATGAGTATAACTTCATGCTACATTTGACAAAAGCATCCAAATTTGTTCCAACTTGGTCTAGTCTAGACAATCGACCGCTTCCATCTTGGTACGATGAAGCAAAATTTGGAATATTTATTCACTGGGGTGTATTCAGTGTACCTAGCTTTGGCTCTGAATGGTTTTGGAATAATTGGAAAGGTTGAATGCTTTCATATAATTTTTATATATTCAATACTTTACAAATATTACTATATATATGTTTGTGATAATTATATATCCTTATGCATATTTTTTTTATAATATTGCAGAGGAGATTGCAAGTACAAAATATCATGATTTTATGAGACAAAGATATCCTCCAAATTTTACCTATCAAGACTTTGCACGTGATTTTACTGCTGAATTCTTCAATGCATCTGAGTGGGCTGAATTATTTAAAGCATCAGGTGCAAAATATGTTGTATTGACAAGCAAACATCATGAAGGGTATACATTATGGCCGTCAAGATACTCATTCAGTTGGAATTCTATGGATGTAGGACCTAAAAAGGATCTTATTGGTAATACATATTTAAAATAATAAATATATATTTAAAA